TCTGTTCATGTAACGGCTCTTACTTCTCTAGGATATATTCCAAGGAGTGGGAGTGCTGGATTGTATGGTATTTCTATTTCTAGCTTTTTAAGGAAGCACCAAATTGATTTCCAAAGTGGTTGTACCATTATTTACATTCCCTCCAGCAGTGTATAAGTGTTCCAGTCTCTCCACAACCTCTCCAACGTTTATTATTTTGTATGTTTTGGATTCATGCTAGCCTTATAGGGGTGAGATGCTGTCTTGTTGTAGTTTTGATTTGCATTTCTCTAATGGCTAATGATCGTGAACATTTCTTCATGTGTCTTTTAGCCACCTGAATGTAAAGGACTTTCTTATTTCAACTTCATATACTACACTAAAATGGGGAAGGACTTATGTTTTACAGATGGAGTATATAGCACAACAGTATATATGGGCATGTATGAATGATAGAGGAAAATTGCTATTTCAGAACAATGTCTTAATTTTGTTTCTACAACTTTATAGTTTAAAACAATGTACATGTAGAAAAGTTGGAAAACATAAAACACTTTGTTCCCGGGGAAATTCATATCAATTTTTTAATCTGGCTTTGTGAATTGGAATGAATTCATTTGAGCATTCAGCGAAATTAGCATCATCTGAAACCTTTTGTAAGAGTTTTGATTTCTGAAAGTCTCACATCCTGACTTCTTTCATGTTTGAGCCCAGGTGTGTGCTAAAAGAAGCTTTGCATTTTTATAATTGATTTATAGGGAGCTTCTCAAAATGTTGTTCTTTAAGACCTTGTTAAGTGTGTCCAAGAAGTCTTTTTGAACTTTTTCCTAAGTAATTTTTGCTTAAAACAGTGTTACATTTTGCCAAGATTAAAATAAAAGGTCTGTGTTCAGTTATTTAAACAAAAAAGCCACAGGATTTAGTAATTCTAAGTTAACACCTTTAGTCGAAAATTATAAATGATAATGTGGGTTTTCTTTTCTTTTTTCTCTTTTCTGGGAAGAGTACCGGATAATAAAACTATTAATGACATCCTAAGAACTTACATTGATCCTGAAAAGTCTGATCCTGTAATTCGTCAAAGGTATGTTTTAAAATTGAAACTTTCTGAAATTATTAAAAATGTTCAGTTACTTGTTACGTGTACATTTATTGTGTAAAGCCATGATGTTTTATTAGAATGTGATATGTTAGTGTAATGTAATTTCTGCCACATTTCGTTGGTATTTAATCAAAGGTTTGTCAGGAACATTTACTGTTTACTGTGTTCAGATACTCTTTGAACTATCTTTCATGCATTCATTTAATCCTTACAATAGCCATATAAGGTAGATTACCATTATTATACCCATTTTACAGATGGGGAAACTAAGCCTTAAAGTGGTTAACCCTTTTAAGCTAGGATTTTTTCATATTTTGAATTTTTTTTGATGATGGCATGTGTTTTCAGTAGTGGAATGCATGCTTCCAAATTGAGTGTGTTGAGATTTTTGATTGGTAATACGAATTTTGAAAATTTCATGCGAGCATACTTTTTCCCACAAAACATTGGCTATAGTCTGGAGCAGTGTTTAGTGGGCTCCATCTGTCCCACGAATCTTTGGAGGGTAGCACCTTCCATTTTGTTACATTGGCTTTCCAGATATGACACATGCGCGCGCGCGCGCACACACACACACACACACACACACACAAACCCAAACCCACACCCACCAGGGCTCCCTAACTATCACACAGGAAGTCATAAATATGCTTATAAGGATCATCTAGCTGTACAAAAGCCAAAAGAGACAAAAGTTTGACCCAGTCACACTCCCTGGATGCACTGCCTCATACCTAAGCCTTCTACCTTAGTGAATTTTCGCCAAAGAATGTTTCTTTTTTCATCGTTACACAAGCCCCACTGGAGGGCAGCATATCCTTTTAAGTGGGAGAAGTAGCCTCCTGAGAAACCTGAGAACCCAAAAATGTTTTGGGGAGCATTCTGTCCCAAGAAACATAAAAAAGTTAAGTAATTTCATATAGCTAATAAGTGAGGGAGTCAGGATTCAAACCCAAGCCGTCTGGCATCAGACTCTGCGCTCTTTATCCTTGTACTAAACTACCTTTTAAGTTGAACCAAAGACCCTAAAATGAAAATTAAGAGTTTCCAAGTAACGGCTAAAGACAAGAAATCCTGATCATGCCAGGTATTCACAGAACTCAGTAAAGTACACTTTGCCTCCTGTCCAGAAATACAGCATGGACAAAAGTGGCTAATATGGCATAATGGAAAGATTTGGTCACGAATATCTGGGTTAAAATAGCTGGTTGTCTCCATTATTAGCTATGTGATCAGGAGGAAGTTACCTAACTTCTAGGCCTTGATTTTTTCCATCAGTAAAATAGGAATGATAATACCTACTAGATAGGGTTGTTATGAAGCTTAAAAGAAATAACATATACAAAGCACCTAATACAGGGCCAGCACATAGTGGGCAACTCCGACGAAAAGGAAGCTATTATTAAGAGTTTGAGTTATTAGCGGTCCTAGGCAGGAACCCAGCTGACTTCCTGTCACCAGATGATACTTGCTTGGGATATGAATACTTTATTTGGTTCCAGAGTAACCTGGTCTTTAAAATTTAGACTGAGTGGATTCTAAAATCTCTGATCCAATTCTATTTAAATCTCATTCTTCATTTGATTCAGGCTAGTACCCAAGTGAACTAGATCCATGTCCCATATCAGACTTTGTGACTGCTGCTGTGGTTGAGTTTTTTTTCCTTATAGTTGATAATCCAGTTATCATTAGTCATATACCTGACAGTAAGACATTTGGCACTGTTTAGATAAATGTTATTGTGTATTAGTTAGGTATTTGTCACTAAATGGAATAAGAAAGTTTAAAACTAGATAAAATATTCAGATTAATTTAGTCAAGTAGGTATTTCTTAAGTTATTTAATTGAAGAGAGAGAAGAAAAGTAATTTTTTATTCAGATCTTGGCTAGAAAATATCTCTAACCCCTTTTCTGTGCTTGGTTAGATGAATTTTAAGTATTATTAGCTGCTCTTAAATGCATAATCTTCATAAGACACTCCTGAAATATATTAAAAATCAAGTTTGCTTCATTTAATATGACCTTTTTATTTCAGGTTGAAAGCCTACATTCGCTCTCAGACTGGTGTCCAAATTTTAATGAAGGTTGAATGTGTACAGCAAAATTTAGTAAGGTAAAACTGCTCCCCCTCTCCATTTCTTTGATTTTTTTCTAATTTTGTATATAATTAAGTAGCTTGATTAGCATAAGTAGATAGTTATCATACTAATTAAATGATTATCAGCAAAACTTAAGACTTTTAAAAATGACTTCCAAATTAAAATTCTAAAATAATCACACTTATCATAATACAACATAAATTCAGTTGAAAAATTACCCTGGTTAAAATAATTTTTAAATATTGCCGTGTAGAACTAAAAGATTTCTAAGTCTCAATTTATTTCAAGAAATAGTTTATGCAAGAGACTTCCAGTGTTCAAATTCTTACCTTTTGGAAATGTAAAAATTTGTATGAGCAAGTGACCATAATGGAAGAACACTGCATAAAAATGTAAAGAGAATCAGATTTTAACAAACCGTCAGATTAGAGTGGGCTCTGCTCCTTTTTTAGTGGGATGATAAATTAGATTACACTAGATGACCTCTGAGGGTCTCTGCAAAGTCTGAAGTTGCTGTGTAAGCGCCGGTTATGCATCACATAGTGAATTGCAAAGCTCTGATCTTTAAAGACACCTGACGCTTTTTTCCCCCTTTTTTCCGTTGTTTAATTAAAACTATTTGATCCATTTCATACTAGACCAGTCTAGTGTGGTTAGACTTTTCTCAATTTGATTTGCTAGTATAACTTAGAGGTTTAAGAGTCCAAGCTGTGAAAAGTTGGGTTTGAATCACAGCTCTGCCTGCTATTGATTCTGTTATCTTGAGTAAATTACATAACCTCACTTGCCTTAGTTTCCTCATCTCTTAAATGACGATAACAATACAGGCATACCTCGTTTTATTGAGCTCTGCTTTATTGCACTTCGAAAATGTTGCATTTCTTACAAATTGTATGTTTGGCAACCCTACATCGAGCAAGTCTCTCAGCACCATTTTTCCAGCAGTGTATGTTCACTTCATGTCTCTGTGTCACATTTTGATAATTCTTGCAGTATTTCAGACTTTTTCATTATTGTTATATCTGTTATGGTGATCTGTGATCGGTGATCTTGATGTTACTATTGACATTGTTTTGGGGCACCGTGAACCGTGCCCATATAAAACAGTGAATTTAATTGATAAATGTGTGTGTTGTGACTGCTCTACCAGCTGGCTGTTTCTCTGTCTCTCTCCCTCTCCTCAGGCCTCCCTGTTCCCTGAAACATGAAATTAGGCCAATTACATTAGCTCTCAAGGCTTGAAAATAATCTTCTGCTCTCTGAGACCATTTAGGCAGTGGCCCTACCCTCCAGATTCTGGGTATTGGCCACATTAACCAGATTCTGAGTGGAGGCCCCTAGGCTCCGAACTTCAGCTATGCCTTGCAGGCCCAGTGGAACAGCAACTCTGCTCCCTCGAATTTGGTCAGTCCCATTTGCCTAGTACATCTCAGTGGCAAGTCCACCCTTTGAGACCCCAGAGGTCATGGCCCTACCCTTTGAGACTGAGGCAGCTCTGCTTCCTTTGTTCCTTGTCTCTTCAGGTTCTGTTTCCAGGTTCCTTGGCCTCTCAGCCCCTTGGCCTCATCACCAGAGTCTGCCCTGCTGGGGCAAGTGTTCCAGAGCTCTTTAACTCCACCAATAAGTGCCTGGAGGCACCTCACTCAGCCAGTGAATTTCAGCCAGAAGGCACTCAGCTCTGTTGCTCCATGGGTCAGCAAGCCTAGCTCCACCTATAAGTACTCAGAGGACCCCACTCTGCCAGGAAGCCTCCTGCCAAAGGCACCCAGCCCCCTTGCTCTGTGGGTCAGCTTCAGCGCTGCCTTGCACTGGTCTCCTTGTTCTGCTGCTACCGTTTCTCTGCTGCTGCTTCTTGCCATCTGCGCCATCTCCAGTGTAACATCTGTCTTCCCTTCCTTCTAAGTCCTCACCAGAATTGTCTTTAACATCTGTAATTCCACCAACAGTCTCTTCAAGGCAATCTAAGCTTTTACTGTTAGGCACTTTAAAACTCTTCCAGCCTCTATCCATTCACAATTTCAAAACTGCTTGCGCATTTTAGGGGTCTGTTAGAGCAGCACCCCGCTCCTGGTACCAAGTTCTGTCTTAGTCATCTAGTGCTGCTGTAACAGAAATACCCCCAGTGAGATGGCTTTAATGAAGAGAGATTTATTCTCTCACAGTCTAAGAGGCTAAAAGTCCAAATTCAGGGTGCCAGCTCCATGGGAAGGCTTTCTGTCTCTGTCAGCTCTGGGGAAGGGTCCTTGTCATCAATCTTCCCCTGGTCAAGTAGCTTCTCAGTGCAGGGACCCTTGGCCCAAAGGACACACACTCCAAGCTCTTCTTGCTTGGTGGTAATGAGGTCTCTATATGTCTGTCTGCTCACTTTTCTCTTGTATATCTCAAAAGAGATTGACTTAAGACACAACCTAATCTTGTAGATTGAGTCCTGCTTCATTAACACAACTGCCTATAATCCTGCCTCATTAAAGTCATAGAGGTTAGGATTTACGACTCATAGGAAAATCACATAAGATGGACAAAATGGTGGATAGTCACACAATACTGGGAATCATGGCCTAGCCAAGTTGACACATATTTTGGGGGAAACAATTCAATCCATGACATTCTCTTAGATATGGGACCCCAAGTGAAGACAGGATAGAAGGTTCTGTGATTTCTGCGAAGTTAATTCTCCAGAGTTACAGCATCCATCTAAGCCCAAATCAGTAATTTTGAAATGGAGATTCAACCACTTACATAATTCATGAACAATTCTGATGTAAAAGAAACTCTCAGATGACATTCTTCAGTTTCATTTAGCAAAGTCCTAAAATTAATTCCATGTAATTTATGTTTAAACAGAGCAGTTGCATTGTTCTCTTGGAATTTACCTCTGATCACTCATTAAGTAATTCTTCCTTCCTCTAGTATCTATGTTTCCTCTTACAAACTCAATTCTTCACCTGTACCATATTTTGTCTAATTAGTTCCTTTAAATGTTACTCATGTTTCATACCATGGTGTGCACTTGATGAGTATATTGTGACTTTAGTCTTACAGGCCTGCTAGGAGAACACCTCTGAGAGTCTTCATGAAAAATGAAATACCGTTTTGGATAGTTGTCTCTTCTATCTTTTTTAGGCCTGGAAACTAACTGCATATTCTCCCAGTCTTCTTCTGAGGACCTAGTGACAGTTTCTGTCTGACCATTCTAACACTTCTGCACCACTCTGAGCATTTGATCGCTCTGCATCCTCGGCTGCCAGTGTGGGCATAACATATGGGTGACTTCAGAAATTACTGCCTTGTCTTGGTTCAGGAAATCCTTTTTCCTCAGTGAGGTGGGGGGAATAAAACTGAATGCCTCATTTCCTTTGTATGTGCTTACCTGACCTTGAATAATTGTAAATAGTATCCATTGGCTACTATTTAATGGCTGCATGAATGTGATTATTTATAATTTAAATTAATAAGCCTGTACAGGCAGTTCCCGGTTTACGAACGTCTGACTTAGGGACAACTTTTACTTGCCCTTTAATGTTTTGTAAATTTGCCCTCACTTTGAAACGATTGAACCCCACTCACTACAAATTCTTCATCACAGTCACCTTCTCTTGCTGCATGCATAGCTTTTAAATCATTGAAGAGGCTTCAAGCCTTTTCTTGCACTAAAATAAGGTTAACTAAGAACCGATGCACCTGTTACTGACTTATAAATTTGACTTAGAGGCAGAGTTAGGAATGGATCTCATTTGTTACCTGGGGACTGCCTACATTTGAAACACCAGATTGCTTTTGCAGAATTAAATAAAAATATCTGTTTTGGTGAGTTTTAGCATCAGCTTGACCAGAGTCACTATATTTACCTATTTCGTTAGCCGAGTAATAAAACAGCTTTACCAAAACTGAAGAAAACAACTACTTTATTTTAGTACATTTCCTAACAGGAAAAAGTTTGGGTTTTATTTTTTTTATATATTTGCTTGCTTGCTTGCTTCTTTGTTGTTTCCATTTTTATTTTCTCTACTACCTGAAAGGGAAGGTTTGTTTTACTTCCATTTTAAGGCAGATTGGGCCGTGACCAGTGAAGAAATGTGCTGGCTGTACCAAGCTAGTCACACATGACTGTGGCAAAATACCCTCTTCTTCCAAAATTCAAGAAAACCAGAACAGTATATGATAAAAAGAAAATGTAGGATACTGAGTATTTTAAAATATACGATATAGGACAAACTGCTTGGGTCCAGATAGCAATCACTTTTAACTTGGAAATGTGTACTGTAGATCCATGAGAAGGCAAAGGGGATGGAAATAGCGTGTCCTGGCAGACCAGGATTTTCTAGGAGAGGGCAGAAATGCCTACAGAATGGCAGGATCCAGAGGGGAGCAGTTGGGGAAACAACTTTCATGCAGTAGCATAGAAAGAGATCAGGATACCGGGAGGCCAGAACCCAGAATACCAGTCAAATTGATGAGGCTTGTTTTTTAACAAAGAGCCAAAGTGGATGAACCTAAACGAAAAAATGTCAAAGAAGTGCACTGAAATGGAGGTCAGCTGACCTCGTTCTAGGCACTCATCTTCTCTGCTTCATCTTCCTTTTAGTCCCTTACTCTCTCTAATTGTATGACCTTCCTTCTTTAGGGTCCAAAAGAGGACCGGAGCTGGGCCTTAGATTAACCCTGTTAGTTCCCAAAGGGGAGGGAATGGTAGATTAATAAAGTAAAAGTGGGTGGTGTTGATTTTTGGGAGTGCCCAAAATAAACTGTTTTGAAACTAAACCTCAGCCAGAATGACTAACATGAAAAGTACTTGGATTTTACCCTATCTGTGTAGAAAGCTTATCCTTCAGATTTTCCCGTTTGAGTTGTTAGCTGAACTAAATGATAATTGAAAATACCAGCAAAGAAGAGGAAGCAGAGAAAAGGTTATGACACAGGGCCAGAGATCTTGGATTTAAACATTGCCCAACCATCTCCCCTCCCCCCACCAGTTAACTGAGTACTCATGGCATCATTTGGAGGCAATAATAAT